AAGTTTGCACGCTTCCTTCTTGTATTTTAATGTACCCCTTCCATCATAACATCATTTAAGTTTTAGGTGAAAATTGAAATCTATGAAATTAAAATAAAATTTTAGTAAAAATTGAGTTATTAGGATGATAGTTCTGACTCTTTTTTTTTTACTCTTTTATTTAAAATTTAAATTTTCAGAATTTGTGTTATTAGGTGAATTTTGAGACTTTTTTTTGTTAAATTTAAATTTTCAGAATTTTTCGTAGCTTTATAGGAATCTTTCTTTTTTATCAAGTTATCTTTTGCTTTACGTTTTATTTTTATGCATGCTACATTATTAAAAATTGTAAAAATAATACTTTTTACGAACGTATCCCCGCCATACCCGTATCCTAATTTTTCAAATTTTGTCGTATCGCCGTATCCGTATTGTACCGTATCTGTATCCCATATCAGTATCCATGCTTCCTAGTCTAAATGCATCTTGAAGCCAATAAGGAGTTAATTCAACTCTTTTTTACAATTTTAGTTTAGGCCTCATAAAAAATTTCTTGTTCCACACCTTGGCCAAAAAGAGGGCAATTTATAGGTTGTATATTACGTATGGGCATAGTGGCAGTGTGCTAAATACTGATAGGTATAATACTAGCAGTGAAGGGAGCCGGCAAATGAGAAAGGATTTTCATCAGGTAAGTGTCACAGTGGTATTTTACGATCCAGGTTGGCCCAACCTAATAGTGTGGGGCTACTGCAGTGTGTGCTCCTGATCTCCTGGTCTTTTGACAGAAACATATATACCTAAAATATATAGTATATAAGAGCAACTCCAATGGCTGCCATTTGAGTTGTCATTGCCAAAGTTTGACAAGCTCAAATTTTTTCCCCTCCAACAATTTGTTATATCACTCAGCCAAATTTTAGTAATGTTAAATTTTGTGCTAAATTTAGTTCAAGGTCTCTCTCTGGCATTTTATTTGACATTGCTTGAGAAAATGCCAAAAAATGAACAATAACTAAGAGGCTTTAGCAAGCAGATCCCACCCTTGGAGCAAACTACACCATAGCTAAGAGGCTTTAGTTCCTTTAGAGGCTACCAGAAAATTTGTACTTAGATGCCTTCAAGCACCCCAGAAAGAATTTGGAGACTGCAGAATCCTCCATTCTTCACACGCCAACAGGGCCAGTTTGAAAGATCTCATGTCTCTAAACCCAAATCCCCATTGAAACTTTGCTTTGGAAAGACTATCCCAATTTATCCAATGGACTCCTTTCCCTTGAATGCCACCCCTTCACTAGAACATGCTAATGTAGGAGTTGAGTTTGGCAGCAAAAAACATGCCATAACATAGGCAATAAGGGCTTGAACAACCGATTTAATCAAAGTTTCACAACCTGTGTGAGAGAGAAGCTTTTGTTTCCAACCCTAAATTTAATTCAAAGCTTTTTTCCACCATAAAATCAAAGGCTTCAGCTTTATTTTTTCACCAGAAAGTGGGCAGACCCAATTATTTTGCATCAGGCTCAAGTTGAGGAATCTAAAACAGATCACAGGCAGACTTATTGACATCACTAGAGATATTAGTAAAGAAGTCAATACCTAATTTGTCAAAGTTGGTTAGTTTCCTAGAGGCTTCACTATACAATTTAAAAAGATCCATCAACTTCCTACACTTTTGAACATTAGCTTTAATAAACACGGTAGCATCATAAGCAAAAAATAGATGGGATAAGATTGACTAGCTTCTGGTAATTTTGACTTCTGAGATCTCTTGGCTTATCAACTTATAGGATATAAATTTAGAAAGAACATCAACAACTAAAGGATCTCATTGCTTTATCCCTCTTGATGGCAAGAATGGAACCCATTTATCCCCATTAACTTGGACTGAAAAGGAAACGGACAGTGATCATAATTTCCATAACCCATTGGATCCAGCCAGAAATAATACCGATTTTCCTCATAACTTGAGCAAAAAACTCCCATTGAAACCTGTCATAGGCTTTGTTGAAGTCCAGCATAATAGCCATATCAGCAAATTTTACTTTCTTCTTAAGATTAATGAAAAGCTTCATAGGCAATGATAATGCTATCTTGGATCATTCTACGTGGAACCAACGTTGCTTGGTTTGGGGTTACGATGTGGTTGAGGATCTTTTTAAGCCTATTAGCCAGGATCTTGGCAATAATTTTCAAATTAAAATTGCAAAGGCTAATTGGGTGGTATTGTGTATGGGATTCAGAAGCATTCACCTTTGGAATAAGAGCAAGATTGGTTTGGTTTAATACTATTAAAAAAATACCCATGAAAAAAGCTTCTCACGACCTTGCACACATTAGGGACTATTTTCTCCCATATTGTTGATAAAACAAGCCAAGATAGCTATTAGGTCGAGGAACCTTTGAAGAACCCAATTGAAAAATTGCCTTCTTCACTTCTACATGTGCAACGGGTTTGGTAAGCTCAAAATTCATATCATCAAACAACATCAGAGCCACCACTCTAAAAATTTCTTTGAAGTTTCTCTATCCCATGCCACTAAACATATTGGAAAAATAGAATAGCAGATGATCATTAATATCCACGTCTGAAGATAAAAAATCACCCTTTTTGTTTTAAGCTTAAGAACTTGATTGCACCACCTTCTCTAAGTTGCCGTAGAATGAGAAAAAGTTGTGTTCTGATCTCCATATTTCAACCAATTAATCCTAGACCTGGCCCAATCCCAGCCCTACTTTGTTACAGAACCCCCAGATAGCCCAAGGTCATTATGCATTAATAATACCTCCATAATCATAGGCTCAACAAGAAATCTCCAAATAGAATAATTAAGCCCAAATATGAGCCCGAGAAGACTGTTGGTGAATCTAAACCCTATAAAATGTTGTTCAAAGTTTGTCCACTAAGAGGAAAGCAAATGATATTCATGAAGATGGATCCCACGACCTCAACCTTGCCAGGATCAAACCTGTGATTCCTTCCAGCAACCTAGCTACAAGGGGCAACCCCCGCAAAAATCATGTACTATTGCTCCCCCAAAAGGTAATACCCCAAAAAGGCAAAATTGTCAAAGCAAAGGGCAAACCCAAGAAACAAACTAAAAGCACAGACATGGAACTGGTTAAGGTTCTAGTCAAGGTTTTAAATAATGGTGGCACTTACCGTAACGGTAACAGTAGCATTGACGCAATTGTGAGGTGCAACGGTCGTATCGTAACGTTGGCCGCAATAGGCACTGTGGATTTTTTTAGTTCTTCGCACAACTTTAAAAAAACATATCAATACACATGTTTTTATTTCATAATCACATTTACGTTCCATTTGTTTGGGTGGAAAACATTTTCTATGGAAAAAAAAATTCAAAAAATATTTTCTGGAGAAATTTTTTTTCTATGTTTGGTGATAGTGTAGTGAAACAAATGTGGAGGTGGAGGTGGAGGCGATGGCATGATGGTGGGGTGGTAGTGTGGGTGATAGCAATAGTGATGGTAGCCGTGGTGATGGTGTGGTAGTGGAGGTGAGATTGGTAGTGGTAGTGTAGTGATATTTGTAAGACTTTAGTTTGGAGAACATTTTCCGCCTTTTAAAAGTGGAAAACATTTTCTACCTACATACGCTCATTTTATGTTGACCATGGAAAATATTTCCATTGGTTTTCGTTTTCCATTGTACTAAACACCAAAAAATACAGAACATTTTTTAGAAAATACTTTCCGCACAAACAAACAGAGCGTTAGTGAGGTTCAAAATGATTTTAAATATTTTTGCTTAGTTTTAAAACATGATCCAATATATATATATATATACTAATCTTTATATTAGTTTTAAGTCACTATGGAAAAAATTTCTATTATTGGATTTATTTAATTTTGTTTACTTTATACTTATATATAACTTCCAATTTGTTAAGAAAAAAAAATGAAATATGTTTAGTATTAAAAATAATAATATCATGAACATAAGTTTAAAATACAAAATGTCAACGTAAGAATGTTTTACGTAACACAAAATCTAAATTTTGTTTAGTAAATTTAAAATAAGAGAAATAGATATAAGTTAATATTCAAAATATAATTAAGTGAAAAAGTAATAAAATTTTATAAAACTTGAATATTGGACATTTAAAACATTCATAGATGAAATTTTTACATAAATTCTATCTAATCAAAAAATAAAAAGAGAAAATAGCATTATATACAAAATTTATATAAAAAATAAAATTTAAAAATAAAATGGGCATAATGGTCATAACAGCCATAACAGTGTTGTAGCAACAGTGTAACGGCCGTTCCAGCCTTTACATAATGGTGGAGGCTGTTACAATTGTGAATTTCTGCCACACTACTATGGCAACTGTAATGGGTGGTGGTAACCACCACAGCCATTACGTAGGTTGCGGTCACTTTTTAAAACCTTGGCCCTAATACAAAGTCTTGATCTTCCAAACTTTGAATGGGCAATGGTGGCTGGCCCAAATAGCCACACGCTCAATGTTGGCGATTAGCTGGAATTGTGAGGAGATAGGGCGACCCCTAACAATCCATCCAGATCATCCGAGGGTTGGTGACAACCCATTGCCCTTTTGGGCTTTTCTTGAGTGAGACCAAAAAAAAGAGTTCAGAGTTGTGAGGACTCCAAGATCTCTAGATTTTCCTAAAAAGTGATATATAGAACCAGAGGGTACTCATGGGGGGACTTGGCTTTAGGGTGGAAAGAGGTTGATTTACATCAGATTCAAATCCGAAAACATTCTCAGATGTCATGTTACTTGTGCCTCAAATCAAGAACTACGCTAACATCTATACTCGATAGAGCATAAAAAGTTAGTTATATAGAGAAATTAACCAATTAAAAATCATTTATACTATATATACATATACCTACGAGTCTATGACCACAGAAACCCTAAAATTAATTTCCTAATCAACTACAAAATATCCTCAAACCGTAATCAACGCGTTCTCTAATCAAGTTAACTCAGAGATATCTATACTAACATATGACCACAAAAACCCTAGAATCAATTTCTATGAAATATCTGAATCACACAGAGAGTTGTCTAATCAAGAAAACAACAATATATATATATACTCACATTATAGGTAACATCAGGCTTCTCGGACTGGCTGAGCAGCGAAATACTGGAATCGGCCTCCGGAGGCAAGACATCAACGAGGGCATTGGAGTGGCGGTGCAAGGCAACAGAAGCAGAGGGCTTCAAAAGCTCGCGATTAATGGTACTGAGAATCCTGACATAGTAATTGGAGCCAGTGGTGGAACCAACAATACCGTTGTTCTGATCAATCATCTCCATGAACTGACCGATGACGAGGGGGACAGATTGGATCCGCTTGACCTCTTCCTGGGCACGGAGGAGCTCGCGCTTCAGATTCTTCTGCTCGTCCTTCACGTACTCTTCTTGGATCTCGATGAACTCCAGTTGCCGTTCCAGGGATTTCAGCCGGCTGTAGAGGTCGTCTTCGTCGTCGGAGCTGGAGTGGGGATCCGGGAGGATGGCTGGGAGGGTTGCTGGGGGATTGGGTAAGGGTTTCGGCTCCACCACCATCACTGAAGCCATTGTTGTTGTTGTTGCTGTTTTCGGTGGTTCCGGTATTTGCCGATGATCTGGAGAGAGGAGGAGAAGAGAAGGCTGAAAAAGCGAGAATGTAGTGATGGTTTCCAAGAACAAGAGGAAAGCGTGAACTCACCTTTCAATGGAGCTTTATATTGCCCTCGTTTGTCATATGAGTTTTTTTTTTTTTCCTTCTCCCTCTCTTCTTTTTTGTCTTTTTTTTTTTAATTTTTGGGTTAAAATAGTTTTAAAAAGGACAAATTACAAACACCCTTGAGATTTGATAAAAATACAGATTTTTTTGAGGTTTGAGAAATTATAAATTGTCCTTTGAGGGTCAAATTTTCATAACAAATTAAGAGAAATTATGGGAGAATTTGTATGAAAATAAAAACCTCAAGGGGCAATTTGTTATGAAAATATAAATCTCAGGAGGTGTGATATAATTTCTCAAACCTCAGGGGAGAATCTGTATTTTCACAAAATCTCGAGAGGTGTTTGTAATTTGCCCTTATAAAAAATATAAAATAAATTAAAAAAATAAAGGGTGATTTACAAGTAAGTCTCGTTTTAGCAAACAATGGTCCATTAAGTCCTAGTTCAAAAACTTTTAACCAGTAAGTCCCATAATCCATTAATATGACGAAACCACCCTTACCAAATCAAAACACAAAACAAAAATCGCAGATTCACGATTTCATTCACAGTTCATCCTGCCATTTCTCACCCTCGCAGATTTCATTCTCACCCTCGCAGATTTCATTCTCACCTTCATCAATTTCACCTCACATTTTATCTTTCTTCATCAATCTCGTCTCAGATTTCACAAAAACAACTAGATAATCAAACATTCAAACATCCGAAAACCAAAAATGGTGAAAATAAGTAAGATTCAAGTATCTTAAACCCTAGTTTTTGTGAAATCTTTCATTTTCGAAACTTTGGTTTTTCATTTCCATTTCAGCTTGAATGTTGAGTTCGAAACTTTCATTTTTGAACCTTTTGTTTTTTATTTCCATTTCAGTTAGACTGTTGAGTTCGAAACTTTTGTTTTCGAAACTTTTGTTTTTGTTTTTGTTTGTGAATCTGAGAACATTGATTGTAATGCCACAAAAATCATGTTCTCTTGCTTTCTATTTAGGTTTCAATGTTGATTTTGGTGCGACTGCTGTGAATATTCTCAGATTCTTAGTGAATTTGAGTGAAAAACCCTAGTTAATCATGTTCCCTTACTTTCTGTTTGGGTTTCATTGTTGATTTTGGTGCGATTAGTGTGAAACCCTAGTTAATCATGTTCCCTTGCTTTCTGTTTAGGTTTCATCGTTGATTTTGGTGCGATTAGTGTGAATATTCTCAAATTCTTAGTGAATTTGAGTGAAAAACCCTAGTTAATCATGTTCTCTTGCTTTCTGTTTAGGTTTCAATGTTGATTTTGGTGCGATTGCTGTGTTCTCTTGCTTTCTGTTTAGGTTTCAATGTTGATTTTGGTGCGATTGCTGTGAATATTCTCAAATTCTTAATGAATTTGAGTGAAAAACCCTAGTTAATCACGTTCTCATTCTTTCTATTCAAGTTTCAATGTTGATTTTGGTGCGATTGCTGTGAATATTGTCAGATTCTTAGTGAATTTGAGTGAAAAATCCTTGTTAATCATGTTAGCTTGCTTTCTATTTAGGTTTCTTTGTTGATTTTGGTGCGATTGCTGTGAATATTCTCAGATTCTTAGTGAATTTGAGTGAAAAACCCGAATTAATCATGTTGCCTTGTTTTCTATTTAGGTTTCATTGTTGATTTTGGTGCAATTACTGTGAATATTCTCAGATTCTTAGTGAATTTGAGTGAAACACCCTAGTTAATCATGTTGCCTTACTTTTTATTTAGGTTTCATTGTTGATTTTGGTGCAATTGCTGTGAATATTCTCAGATTCTTAGTGAATTTGAGTGAAAAACCCTAGTTAATCATGTTTCCTTACTTTCTATTTAGGTTTCATTGTTGATTTTGGTGCGATTACTGTGAATATTCTCTAATTCTTAGTGAATTTGAGTGAAAAACCCTAGTTAATCATGTTCTCTTGCTTTCTGTCAATGTTGATTTTGGTGCGATTACTGTTAATATTCTCATATTCTTAGTGAATTTGAGCGAAAGCCCTAGTTAATCATTTTCTCTTACTTTCAATTTAGTTTTCAATGTTGATTTTAGTACCATTGTTGTTAATGTTTTCAGATTCATATTGAATTTGAGTGAAAAATCCTAATTAATCAACTTCTGTTACTTCCAATTTAGGATTCAATGTTGATTTGGGTACCATTGTTGTTAATGTTCTCACATTCTTACTGAAATTATGTGAAAAACCCTACTTAATCATATCCTATTCCTTTCAATTTAGGTTTCAATGTTGAGTGTGGTACCATTGCTGTCAATGTTCTCATATTTTCAATCAATTTTAGTCAAAAACCTTAGTTAATCATATTCTATTGGTTTCAATTTAGCTTTCATTGTTGATTTTGGCATGATTCCTGTGAATGTTCTCAAATTCTTAGACAATTTGAGTAAAAAACCTTAGTAAATCTTATTCTATGGTTTCAATTTAGCTTTCAATGTTGATTTTGGCACGATTCCTGTGAATGTTCTCAAATTCTTAGACAATTTGAGTAAAAAACCTTAGTGAATCTTATTCTATGGTTTCAATTTAGCTTTCAATGTTGATTTTGGCACGATTCCTGTGAATGTTCTCAAATTCTTAGATGATTTGAGTGAAAAACCTTAGTGAATCTTATTCTCTGGGTTTGAATTTAGCTTTCAATATTGATTTTGGCACGATTCCTGTGAATGTTCTCAGATTCTTAGATGATTTGAGTGAAAAACCTTAGTGAATCTTATTCTCTTGGTTTGAATTTAGCTTTCAATATTGATTTTGGCACGATTCCTGTGAATGTTCTCAGATTCTTAGACGATTTGAGTAAAAAACCTTAGTGAATCTTATTCTCTGGTTTCAATTTAGCTTTCAATGTTGATTTTGGCACGATTCCTGTGAATGTTCTCAAATTCTGAGACAATCTTATTCTCTGGTTTAAATTTAGCTTTCAATGTTGATTTTGGCACGATTCCTGTGAATGTTCTCAAATTCTTAGACAATTTGAGTAAAAAACCTTAGTGAATCTTTTTCTCTGGTTTAAATTTAGCTTTCAATGTTGATTTTGATATGATTCCTGTGAATGTTCTCAGATTCTTAGACGATTTGAGTAAAAAACCTTAGTGAATCTTACTCTCTAGTTTAAATTTAGCTTTCAATGTTGATTTTGGCACGATTCCTGTGAATGTTCTCAAATTCTTAGACAATTTGAGTAAAAAACCTTAGTGAATCTTTTTCTCTGGTTTAAATTTAGCTTTCAATGTTGATTTTGGCACGATTCCTGTGAATGTTCTCAAATTCTTAGACAATTTGAGTAAAAAACCTTAGTGAATCTTTTTCTCTGGTTTAAATTTAGCTTTCAATGTTGATTTTGATATGATTCCTGTGAATGTTCTCAGATTCTTAGACGATTTGAGTAAAAAACCTTAGTGAATCATGTTCTCTTGGTTTGAATTTGGGTTTCAATGTTGATTTTCAAACGATTGTTGTTAATGTTCTCAGATTCTTAGTCAATTTAAGTGAAAACCTGGACTTAATCCATATTCTCTTGATTTCAATTTAAGTTTCAATATTGAGTTTGACATGATTGTTGTGAATTTTCTCAAGTTTTCAATCAATTTGACTGAAAACCCTAGTTAATCATGTTCTCTTGCTTCCAATCTAAGTTTCAATATTGATTTTGCTGTTATTGCTATGAATGTTCTCATATTCTGAATCAATTTGAGTAAAAAAATCTACTTAATCATATCCCATTCCTTTAAATTTAAGTTTCAATGTTGAGTGTGGTACCATTGCTGTCAATGTTCTCATATTTTCAATCAATTTCAGTGAAAAACCTTAGTTAATCATGTTCTATTGGTTTCAATTTAGCTTTTATTGTTGATTTTGGTGTGATTGCTTTGAATGTTCTCAGATTCTTAGACAAATTGAGTAAAAAAACCTTAGTGGATATTCTCTTAGTTTCAATTTGGGTTTCAATCTGAATCAATTTGAATAAAAAACCCAAGTTAATCATATCTTATTGCTTTCAATTTAGGTTTCAATGTTGAGTGTGGTACCATTGCTGTCAATGTTCTCCTATTTTCAATCAATTTGAGTGAAAAAACCTTACTAAATCGTATTCTCTTGGTTTCAATTTAGCTTTCATTGTTGATTTTGGCACGATTCCTATAACAACCCTCACCACTGATTACCGATAAATTACTGATTAACTACCAATTACTGCTAAACTGATACCGATTATGATTGATAACTGAATTGATTGAAGTACTGAACTGATTGACTGAAATCTGGAACTGAATTGATTAAGTATATCTGTTCAATTGTACGTCTATCTGTTGACTGTTTGATTATCTGTTCATGCCTTTGTGTTTAAATTGCGAATTAAAGGCCTTATCTGCGGCCGAATCTGAAATTGATTGATGATTTGTGATCCTTAGAATTAATGTGATTTTATGGCATATTTAGTTAAAATGTGATTTGGTATGATTTAGTTAGATTAAATTGAGTAATCAAGAGAGTTAAGCTTATTTACCAAACTACCTCCTTAGTGGCCATTTTCTTACACATATTTGAGCCTTATTATATACTTAGGCACACAATTCATCAGCCTTTCTCCTTGTGATTGCCGACCATAGAGAGAGAGAAACTAGAGGAGTTGATTTCATCTCAACTTTTGCTTGTGAATTGCTTGGAAATTGAAGGAATTGGAGGTTGATCTCCATATCTAAGTTTCTACACTTGAACTACTAGACTTAAGGTAGAACTTCATCTTCTTATTGTTGTCTTCAAGTTAGTTTGTGCATGGTTTATGGTAGATGAGAGCCTAAGGCCATGAATTGGAGTTAAATTGTTGCCATGACGCTCAATTGT